ACCTAGCCATGAAATAGCAATGACTGTTTTTGTTTGAGTGTCTTATACTAATAAGAGTCTATGCAGGTTAGCTCTGTAACATAAGAGGATCGAATTCAAACCAGAGCCATCTAGCAGTGAGACGTACAAATCAAATGAGAGCTGTTTGGCAGCAAGGCATAGGAATCATGGCCCTGTCATTGACACATTAAACTAATACTCATACTCAGGATGATCATCCCTACACTAAAAACTGCATGGGATGTTAAGTTTGCATCGAACTATGCCCAGAGTTGGATGATGTCATGATAAATTTCATAAAGGACATAAAACTGAGTATGAGAATATTTCTTGGGTGGAGGAAATGAAAAGAAACTTACACAATTAGAGTAGGGTGACAAGAATTTGAAAAACCCCAAAGGAGGACAGAGATGGATGCTCTTTGAAGCAGCAGAGTTGGGGTTGAGAGTGAGAAAAGACAGTTGGGGTTCTGTTGGGCTGGAGCCCTCTGGCCTATCTTGACTGGCACATCATTTTCTCTGCATCCCTACTATTCCTGTGCTCCATCATTGAGACCTGCCTGCTACGCCACATCGAGTCCCTCCCCAGCCCACCCTGGGCAGAGGCATGGGCAATGGGGTGTATTTGTGCCCACTCTGCATAACTAGAGTGGAATCTGCCCACAAGTGAACATATTCAGAGTGAAAGTAGGGTGTGCACAGTCTATGTTCAATAAACCCAAAGAAAGAAATCCATTGCAAAGTGGAGGAAGACAGTATCTAGCTGACATCTTTGTGAGGACTCCAATAAATTGGATACTGGGGATTTTTATCCCAACCAGTGCACCCTTAGTAAAGCTTCTTAGCATGTGGGCTCCTTGTTCTGGCCTTTGGGCTCCCTAGTGTCCAGCTAGAAGGGATCACTAGAGGTCCAGGCAGGCCCTTGAGCATTGGGAGTCACTTGTGAATCCTTTTGGAGACTTTCATGCCTGCTTGCAGATCAATTTATTTTCCCCCTTCCTGCCTCCTTCTCTGCATTCGTCAGAGCAATCTCACATCTGAAAGGAGGAGGTGGAAATGTTCTCCCTAGTCTGTGGGCTAATGTTCCTTACTCCCTTTCCCTTTAAGTCTGCAATCAGAGAGGGCCAGGGGGATTGACAGTATCCCTAGTTCTGTGAAGGCAGGGTTACTGGGACATGAAGTCCCAGAAACCTCTGATGGAATCTGGGACAGGTGGTCATCTAAAATTATCTTGAAATTACTGAATTCTTCCTGGTTCCTTCCTATGGGGGGGTACTGACCAACACATTCTAATGCTATTTAGAATCATTAAGCTTTTGTTCAGGGAGAACTCTGTTCCAAGTTCCTCAAACTTCTTTATTTTGTTTTATTTTGTTAAAAAATTTGTTTTTGTTTTAAAACTTCTTTTATTTTGTTTTTATTTTTGTTTTAAAATGTACCTGTTAGTAAATCCTTTATGAAAAGCCCTTGTCAACTTCAAAATGAACACAAAACATTATAAAACACCTTATCCAGACTCCTTAGTGGAATTTAATGAGTCTGTCTGCTGTGTGCTTTATAATCACATCTATGTTTAATGTATCCCTTCTTAGTTCACCCTTGTTTGTCTTCCTCCTTTGAGTATAAACCCCTGCGGGGCAGAATTTAGCTCTTGTTTATCTCTGCTTCTTCTGCTTGACCTAGGCCAAGGCCTAGCACACAGCCCACGTATGGATTTGCCTTCCTCCCTCATTGCCAGGGCTATAGCTTCTGGGTCCTCAGGCACAGGCCCAGTGTGGTTCGGATGTCTGATGGCACAGCCCATTAAAAGCAGAATCAGGTCCATTAGAATATAAGCTGCATGAGGGCTGGGCCTTAATTGTCTGATTCAAGGCTGTGCCCCTAGGACTAGCAAAGTGCCCGCCACCTAATAACTCTCTATAAGCATTCGTTGAATAAATGAGTGGATGAATGGGTGGAATGATAGATAGGAGATGGAGGGATGGATGGATGGATTGTAGATAGCTAAATTTAGCACATATCTTGTAGGCAGTCAGGCAGGACAGCCTTCAAGAAGCCAACATGGAGGACAATCAAGACACATTCACTGAAAGCCAGCACTGTAAAAGAAGAGAGAAACTACCATACCCATGTACTTCCCCTAAGGATGAATAGCAGTGATTGATATTCTAAATAGGTATCAATCATCTGGGTAGGGGACAAAGATCTTCCAAGAAAGATCCCTGACCCACCCCTTACCACCTAAAATCCTTGCTTGTTCCCTATGTGCTCGCTACATGACTTGTTTCCCTATTGGATCCCCATTTAATCAATATTACCTAAGTGACTACACATCACAATCTTATTGGTTGTTCACAGTTTTGTCCACCTTGACATAATTGGGTTAATATTACCTAAGCGACTGTACCTGTAGTCTCACTAGTTCACTATAGTTTTGTCCCACCTTGAATCCGCCTCATCTCATGGCTTTATCCCATAAAACATCTTTGAGAAGTTGGCTGAGCAGGTAACCCACTTTTTAGACAGAAGCTTTGTTTCAATAAATTTCCCTACTCTTAATCTCTGTTGTTCCTGAAATTCATTCTTCAGTTTTAGAGAACACGAACTCACATTTCGGATACTTAGCAGGTTTGGGAGTTACATCTCTCCCCCCATCTACATCAGACGGACAGATGGATGGATGGACAGATGGATGGATGGACAGATGGATGTATAAATGCAATTACAACTGCTGGAAATCAAAATCTTATCTTCTATTCAAACTTGCTTAGCTGAGTTTATTTTTATCCTCCCTGCATTCCAGACATCTGCAGATAGACTTTCTTTGTCTGCCTGAGCCCTGGCATTTTTAGCTTTGACTTTCCTAGATCTCCTATTGCCATGCTTTGTCACTTAGTGGCCTAATTTTGCACTTTAAGTGTTGCATGTCTGCTTGGCCTCTTTTCTGAGGTCACCATACTATGTGGACACATATTTAACTCCTCAGAAGGATCCTTTCATTTATTGCTCCACGGCCCTTCCTGTGGGGACCCTGTCAATGCCTCCACACAGTCACAGTCTCCTATGCTGCTCAGTAAATACAGATTAACTGAACTGTATTGTTTGGTCTTTGCCTTCGATCACCAGGTAACTGGGAGAAACTTGATCAAGTTTTGAAACTGAAATCTGATGTCTTCTGCAGTAATGTTTGTCTTAGTCCAGTGGCACCAAAAACTAAGACCACTCATCTATTGTATGCCAGGCACTATAAGATGTTTTCTCTAAACTGCACATTGGTGTTATTCTTAAAATATGAAAGCTTACCTACTTTACTAAGTTCATTCAATGCTGCTTATCTTATTATGTAGTTTTGGGCCCCATAAAATTATTTAACAAAGTCAATTCATAATATTTTGGGGGGATAGGAACAGATAAATCAAAATAACTACACTTAATATTGGTGAGTGACAATCAAAAAATAGCCAAATAAAATGAATAGACACTTCTCAGTAGAAGAAATAGAAATGGCCCATAAATGCATGAAAATAATGTTTAACATCTCTGGTCACTACAGAAATGCAAATCAAAACAACACTGAGATTCCATCTTACTCCACAAAGAATGATTTTTATCAAGAAATCAAATACTGCTGGGGGTTTACCTCAGTGGTGCCGCCGCCTGCCCTGCAAGCAGAAGGACCTGAGTTCGATCCCTGGTACCAAAAAAAGCAATCAAATACTGTACTGACAAATGCTAGCAAGGCTGTGGGGAAAAAGGAACACATCTGCATTGTTGATGGGAATGTAAACCAGTACAACTAGTACGGAAACCAGTGTGGAGAGTCCCCAAAAAATTAAAAATAGAAATTTCATTGGACCCAGCTATTCCCTTTCTAGGTATCTTCCCCAAAGAGTTAAAGACATCATATTACACACATACCCACATCTGCAGCAGCATAATTCGGAAACACCCTGTATGTCCATCGACAGATAAATGGATAAAGAAAATGGGGTATTTATATATAATGGATACTACTTTTCCATAAAGAAGGATAAATTTGAGTCCTCCCATTATGAGACCATAGTGTTAAGTGAAATAAATCAGATGTACAAGCTTAAATATCACATGGTTTCTCTTATATGAGACCCAAAATATAAATAAATTAAAGAACAAAATAAAAGAGAGCCAATAGGAAATAGGGAAACAGATCTTCTTGTGAAAGGAAAGGGGACCGAGAGATATAAGGAGAGAGGAGGAAGAGGAGGGGAAAGGATGAAAAAAGAATTAAAGTGTTTTATGCATATGTACCAACTCCGCATGAGGAATGCAATCACTATGTACTAGTAAAAATTAAAATAAAAAGAAATAATATTGATGGGTGATTAGTTTTTTCATTGTCTATTAACAAAGTTATAATTGACTGATACACAATACGTTTGTAGGGGACCAGGAAAAGGGTACATGGATCTGTAAACAAATTCATATGCTTAGGGAGGGGTGGAGGGTGCATTTGTCTAGGCAGACATGAAAGTTTATCATTAACTAAATGTTTCATTGGCATCCATGCAATGTTAACAGGCAGTGTGTGGGAAGCTGAATCTTACAAGGAACTGTTTGTCTCCCGAATTCCAGGAAGTCAGAACCCACCGGAGGGAGAGGGCAGGTGTGTGTTGAGGCTTTACGGGTACGGCACACTAGTAATTGTATGGTTGGTGAGCATGCTGGCTCGAATAACTCTGCACGTCTGCCCCTGGATCAGATGTAGAGCTCCTTGCTGGCACCCACTCCAGCTCTCTCGGCGCCTTATACCACTGTCAGCAGACATCACTGGGGGTTGTACACCTCAGCTTAGCAGGGTTCAAAAGTCTGGCTGCTGCTTCTCCTGAGCCTCTGAGATCAGAACATTTTTGCCTGCCCACACCGGACAAAAGTTTACCACTGCTTGCGTAGGGGTCTCCTTTTCTACAAGCTGTGTATTTCTATGGAGCAGCTGCGGTAATCAAACTGCATGTTTTCTTCCAGGTGAGTTGCAATGAACTGGCCCCTGAAGAAGAAGCAGGAGGAGCACGCTGGCCCGCACTGGGCGGGAATGGCACTGCCTTCCCGACACTGCCTCCTTCTGATCGGCGCCCTGGGCATCTTTGCGCTTGACTGTTTCACCAAAGGTCAGAAGAACAGCACGCTAATTTTCACAAAGGAAAACACCATCCGGAACTGCAGCTGCTCTGCAGACATCCGGGACTGTGACTACAGTTTGGCCAACCTGATGTGCAGCTGTAAAACCATCCTGCCTTTTGCAGCAGAGCGAACCAGCTACAAGGGCCATCTGACCATCTGGTTCACGGACTCATCTGTGCTGGGCCGCCTGTTGAACTTCACACCGGTCCAGGACCTGAAGCTTTCTCTGTGCAGTTCCAACACCCTCCCCACCGAGTACCTGGCTGTCTGTGGGCTGAAGAGGCTTCGAATCAGCACAGAGGCCAAATACCCTTTCCCAGAGCAGAGCTTACTCATCCACAGTGGTGGGGACAGCGACTCCCCAGCGACTCCCACATCATCACACAAAGGCTGGGAGGCATGTATGTATATTTCATTCCTGGATGTGGCTCTTTTCAACAGGGACTCATCCTTAAAATCATATAGCATTGAAAACATTGCCAGCATTGCCAATGATTTGCCTGACTTTTCTCACTTTAAAGCCTTCCCAATGCCAAACAACAAAAGCTATGTTGTTACTATCATTTACTAATATTGTAACTGTGTCCGAAAGCCGGGAACCTTGGCAACAGATGCACCATTTAAACGAGGAATCTGGCAACAAGGCCACCAGACAGGTACCCCTACTCACAACTTAGCCTCTGTCCCTACACTCCCCAAATTTGCAACTGAGCTACTCCTACAAATAGCCAGCTCCATCTGCTCTACTGGGATGCTCAATTTTGGGAGCTATTTTGAAAAGGAAAGTAAAAAGAAACCCCAAACAGATGATTTAGTCTGGAGGCATGTCTTGAGGATCAGCTAGAGGCTAGATCTTTGCAACTGGAGCCTGTGAAGAGTTGTCAGATCAGAAGTAGAAAAAGCTGGAGTTTGTAAGGTACCTTCTTTCAAAATATAGCTGTCTCTTCTTATACATTCCAAGACCCCCAATGAGTGCCTGATATACTGATTTTTTTTCCTACACATACCTATGATAATGTTTAATTTGTAAGTTAGGTAGATTGAATCACTAATAATGGAATAATTATAATAATATTTGTAATAAACATTATGCAAATGTGTCTTCTTTCTCTCTCAAAATATTTATTTGTACTGTACTCACCCTTCTTGAAATGATCTGAGATGATACTTATTAGAAGCACTTTATGGTGGCAAGCATGAAATTTAAAACTTATGAATTAATTGTCTTTTTCTGGAATTTTCTATGTAATATTTCAGATGGTGGTTGACCACTGGTAACTAAAACCTTGGGGAGGTGGGAACTGTGGGTAAGGGTGGAAATACTGCTCTGCTGTAACTTCTTCTCCTTTGTTTTGTGACATTGTCTGGAATTCCCCCAATTCCAGTCAGGAATGACAGATTTCAGAGCTTTTAGGAATTCCACAAAATGACTAGGCTGTATTAGACTGGTATCTTCCAAATACCTTGCTAAGAACAGATACATTGAGAAAAGGGAATTTTGAGATTATGTTTATGGAGGGTGAGAGGAATTAAAACAAGTGTGGATTGGGAGGAAAATTAGTACCAAATGAAGGAACAAGGGTTCTGAAGAGAGGGGCGTGGAAGTGATAATCAGACAATGTATCAATTGCATATATTGTATCTCTGAATTTTGCTTAAAGTGCTGCCTAATCCCAGGGAACATTTTCTTCTAGTCCTTCTCTTTCATTTCCTCCTCTTTCTTTACATCTCCTACCTTTACTCTCACTATCCTACTTCCTGTATTTCTCTTCTCATTTTCCTTTTCCTTCTGTTTCTTTTCTTCTCCAGAAATTAGAATTTAGATTAAAATCAGTAGAACTGTTAAACTACATTAAGGACTAGCTTGGGAATCTAAAAATCACTTGTCACATTCTCGTGGTAAAGGTACTCAGGTGCTTAATTTACTAATGAATAATTAATTTTTTTATAGTACTGGGGATCGAACCTCATGCATGCATTCTAACACAGAGCTACATTCCCAGGCCTTGGTAAACTTTTTGTTTAGAAGAGATAATTAATACAGGAACTTTTAGAGCTCAGTTAAGTTTAAGACTGGAAAATTAGGACACATATATGGCATGGCTAACACAAATGTGTTATAATACGTGTTATAAAACAAACCAAAGCAACATAGTTTTTAAAAAATTCAGTTGCTTCAGCATTGTACCAAGAAAAGTCTCCCTCACAAAGACCCAACCTTCCATATAGTGGGATGACAGTTGTGGTACAGATGTCTAACTCAATGCATTCCTGCATGCATGATAGCATAATGATAAAAAGTTTTACCATGAAATAACAGGATGTCCCAGATTGGTCACTTTCATCATATATCACATTCATCATATTTTTCCTCTGAACCTTAACATAACGATAATTGAAATAACCTAAAATATATACATATGCTTAATTGGTGGGGGATTTGGCCATACAGGCTAATTAGCATGAATCCATAACATCAGTGTTTAAATTAGGCCAAAACAAAGACCAAAGTGTGAATTTTAATAGAATAGTGTAATGACCTCATTACTGATATTGTACTTCAGCGGTAACATTAAAGTTACAGTAAAAGACAAAGAAAGAGGAGAAGGTGGGAGAAAAAAGCAAGAACGATTTAAGGGAAAAAATAAACATATATTTACTATCTGAATTTCACCGTTTTTAATTGATGTATAAAATTAAATGATGTTAGTGATTATGTGCTACATATCTATGTCTGTATCTCCCATTTAGTAGTTTAACAATAGTTTCAAAGTCTTTTCACAAATGGTTTGTGTGATTCTTATGGCAAATCATTGCAGGTCAATGAGATTTAAACCAATAGAAGATGAAAGAGCTCATTTAGTTATAGATCTGGGTTTCCAGATCCCTACTAAAAATGTGGTTTAGGCTGTACTATTATGGGATAAATAATAGACAGAAAATCCAGTGCAAAGACATAGAGATGAATAGCATTTGAACTCAGCTGCAGGATGGGCAGATGGCAGGGAGTGATGGGGTGGTGCACACTGGCTGATGTGATGCTTCAAAAGAATTAGGAATTCCTGCTTCTTATGTGAAACCTTGCGATTTCCAAATGATGGCATGCCCTTGTCTGTTTTCAGTAACACTGTGTCAGTCAATAAACTTTGCTAGTGACCCCATCTGGCCTGGGGCTAGCAGTTTGTCACCTCCGGTCAATAGTGTGCTCATTAAGATCCACTGTCGACTTGATGTGGTTGAGGCACACGTAGTAGATTAGTGAGGCCCACTTCCGGTGTGGCTAGGTGACACGCAAGACTGTGTCTGGTCCCTGGCGCCTTCCTCTCTGTTTCTGTTCCCTGCTCTGCTCCCTAGCCACGAATCAACTAAGCATCTCTGCTTCACACACCCCTCCATCATGATGATCCTGCCCTCAAGCCAAATGATTATGGACTGCATTCTCTGACACCGTGAGCCAAATAAATCTCTCCTCCTTTAAGTTGTCGCTGCTGGGTAATTTTCCCAGGCATGAGTAAATTAATACAGCTGGTAAAAGTTTAACCACTGCCTCTTACAAAAAAAAAAGTAAATAAAATTTGCTGATATAAAGTATGTATATTACAATTTACACATAATATTAAAATATGTATTATTTATTACACATTATATACACATAATTAATTCTCAAAGGATGTTTTGATTTTCGCCAAGTTTTTGCATCCAAAGCCAACCTAAGTTTGCCCCTGATTGATATTTTCATTTATTTTAGGAGTAAGAGGAAAGTTAAACAGCAAAGATAGGTAGGCGAACTTTATTAAGTCAGCAATATAAGCAGCTTCTTTACTAGATCAAACGATAGCTTTCCCATATTGGAGAGATGTTTGTTTCCTCAATATTGGGAACCACTTATAATGCAGGAGCTATAGAAAAAATACTATTTCTGTGTGTTTCTGGGGGTTGAACCCAGGGAATTCTACCACTGAGCTGTGTCACCAGACCTTTTGTATTTTATATTCCATATTTTGAAATTTTGAAACAAAGACTTGCAAAGCTGCCCATGTTGGCCTTGGTAGGTGGGATCCACCTACGTCAGCTTCCTGAGTGCTGCGACTAGAGGTGTGCATCACCACACCTTGTAGGAGCAATATATTTGCACATTTAATTGCATTTCTCTATCACACCCAACAAAATAATAAATCAGACTGTGATACGTAGTGTTCCAATTTCAGTGGTATAAATATTGCCACCATAATCAATTTCGAGACACTAAGAGAATACCGAACTGGGAAGAGATGCACAGAAGGACATCATTAGATAGCAAGTTTATCTTACCAAAGGAATGGGCACAGGTAACCCGAAGACCATGAGTAAAAGTACAATGTAGCAAAATAACAAGGACATTCTAAGTATTTATTTTCTTTGTTTTTGTTATAATTTACCTGGAAATTCATATAATTCAATTCTTAATAATGACCACACTTAATGACCAGCTTGCAAAATTTCTGAAAATTTAACAGTGAGCTCTGAGGAGCTGGGAAAAACTCTGTGCAAGCACTCACTGACTCTGGTAGAAATCAACCCTGAAGGACCTGCTGAAGACCATGAGTCCTGGGGATACAGGGTCACTTGCAGTATGGAGAGGCCCATTTCCTCCTCTGCCTGTACCACAGATGGAAACGTCAGCATTCTACACTCACCTTAGTGAGCAGCCCCCTGACACCATAAAGACTTATGACCCTGAACTCCCTAAGATGGGAGATGGTGAGGTTGAGGAGCTTATGAGAAAAGGACTTAGTGCTCAGAACTTGAGTGAACCTTTGAATGTCCCCCAAAGGAAGAAGGGAACAAAGGAATGAACAAAATATATGAAGATTTACACACATTAGATTGGCAACTATAGGAATCAGACAATCAATGTTCATTTCCTACACTTTCTCACTAATAATTTTAGAATCTCCTTCTGTCCAGAATTTACAGGAGGGTGTTTATATATTTTATTTAATTTGTTTCAGGAAACAGAATGTGATGACATATTTCTGTTTAATGAATTTAGATTTGAACAGAGTCTCTAGTAACAACTCAATGGTGCATGAGGTCACGTTTGCCCAGTTGGACTCTAGAAAAGCAATGAGAGGCTCTAAAGAGAGGAGAACTCATCACAAAGCCCCAGTGACTTAAACGGTACAGGTACCACAGAGACAAGCATATGTCAGTAAAACTTTACTTAACTGTTCACTTATAAAAAGTACCTTTTTGTATGCATGTTGTATTTCAATAATTTTTAAAAGAGAACAATAAATATATTGACAAATATGAACACTTTATTACATTCAATTGCAAAGAAATTGTGAGGTCCACAATAGATTTGTTGCTGGTAGTAGTATTGGCACCATTTCTGAATCTGTTGCGTTTACATTGTAAGATTGTGTGAAAGCCAACATAGTGAAGTTTTGCGCGGAGCCAGGGTGCTAACTGTGGAAAGTATGAATGGAGGGGAAAAGTATTGGATTGGAGTTAAAAGTGTTGGTAGAAACTCTTGAATTTGTATTAGTGCGTATAATTATACAGAATGATAGGTTTCATTGTGGCATTTTCATGATGCACGTGACATA